AATGTTTTATATAACTACATGGTAACCACAAAGGAAAATCTCTACTAGACACACAAAACATAAGCAGAAGGGAATCAATGCAAACCACTACAGAAAACCATCAAACCAAAATGGAAGACAGAAACATACAAACCACAGTATATACAAATAAACTGGAAAACAAACTACAAAATGGCAGTAGTTAAGTCCTTACCCACTGATAATTACCCCAAACATAAATGGATTAACTTCTCCAAACAAAAGATATAGACAGGTTGAATAGATTGAAAAAAAAAAAAAAAAAAAAAAAAAAAAAAGCCAACTATGTGCTGCCTACAGGAGACTAACTTCACCTCTAAGGACACACAGAGTGAAAATGAAGGGATGGAAAAGGATACTCCATGTAAATGAAAACCAAAAGAGCAGGACTAGCTACACTCCTATAAGACAAAATAGAATTTACATTGAAAAACTGTAAACATTGGCCGGGTGCGGTGGCTCAAGACTATAATCCCAGCACTTTGGGAGGCCGAGATGGGCGGATCACGAGGTCAGGAGATCGAGACCATCCTGGCTAACACGATGAAACCCCGTAAAAAACTAGCCGGGCGAGGTGGCGGGCGCCTGTAGTCCCAGCTACTCGGGAGGCTGAGGCAGGAGAATGGCGTAAACCCGAGAGGCGGAGCTTGCAGTGAGCTGAGATCCGGCCACTGCACTCCAGCCTGGGCGACAGAGCAAGTCTCTGTCTCAAAAAGAAAAAGAAAAAAAAGAAAAAAGAAAAACTGTAAACTTTATATCTGAAACTGCAAAACTATTAGAAAAAAACACAGGGGATAAACTATAGGACATTGGTCTGGGCAATAATTTTTGGATTTGACTCCAAAAGTTTAGCCAACAAAAATGAAAACAGAAAAGTGAGGTTACATAAAATTAAAAAGCTTCTGCACAGCAAAGGAAACATTTAACAGAATGAAGAGGCAATCTGTGGAATGGGAGATAGTATTTTAAAGCCATACATGTAAAACAGGGTTAATATCCAAATACAAGGAACTCAACTCAATAACAAGAAAACAACCTGATTAAAAATGGGCAAAGGATCTGAATAGACACTTCTCATAACAAGATAAACAAATGGCCAACAGATAAATTTTTAAATGCTCTATATCACTAATCATTAGGAAAATGAAAATTATATCTCAGTTCTCTCAGAATGGTTATTATCAAAAAGATGATTATTAGTGAAGATATAGAGAAAAGGGAGCCCTGGTATTCCCTAGTTGTTGGGAATGGAAATTAAAACAGCCATTATGGAAAACAGCATAAATGATCCTCAAAAAACTAAAAACAGAGTTACCATATAATCCAGCAATCCTACATTTGTGTATATACCAAAAGGATCTGAAACCAGTATGTTAAAGAGCTATCTGCACTCCCATATTTACTGCAGCATTATTCACAATAGTCAAGTTATAAAACCAACCTAAAGTGTATATAAATGGATGAATAAAAAATATAGTATATATACACAATAGAATACTATACAGACTTTAGAAAGAGAAATTATATCATCTGCAACAACATGGATGAACTGGAGGACATTATGCTAAGTGAACAATCCCAGCACAGAAAGACAAATACTATTTTTAACTTATATGTGAAAGTCTAAAAAAAATTAGATTTATAGAACCTAAAAAAGTTGAACACATAGGTGCAGACAGCAGAATGGTGGTTACCAAAGACTGGAGGTGGGGGAATGGGAAATGTTGGTCAAAGGACACAATGACAAGTATTTGAGGTAATAGAAAATATAAATAAAAATTACAAAATCAGGGCCATTGACAAAATACATATGCAACTGATAACAGGACTTCAATACATGTAAAGCAAAAGCTGATAGGACTAACAGAAGTAATGACTAATCCAAAATTACAGTTAGAAAATTAAGTTATTTTATCAGTAATTGGGAATTAAATAATAAACTTGTAAGTAATCAATGGGTCAAAGAAGAAACAAAAAAGAAAATTTAAAAATACTCTGAACTTAATAAAAAAGCAAACACGATTAATACAAATTTGTGTGATGTAGATAAAGCAATGTTTGGGGGCAACTAACAGAAAAATAGGTCTAAAATCAGTGATCCAAGTTTTTACCTCAAAAACAAAAAAACAACCAAAGCAAATTAAGCCTAAAGCAAGGATGGAAATAATAAAACCAAGGACAGAAATCAATGAAATAAGAAATAACAGAGAAAATTAATAAAACCAAAATGAGTATTGAAATTTCACTTCCAATTGTTCTTTGCTAGTACATAAGAATGCAATTAAATTTTATACAGTGATCTGCTGTCTTTTGATCTCGCTAAATTCACTAGTTCTAGTATCTTGGTTAAATTTTTTAGTATACAACCATGTCTTTGGAAATAAAGACAATTATTTTTCTTTCTTTGCAATTTTATGCCTCATTTCTTTTTCTGGCTTATTGTAATGGCTAGTACATCTAGTAAAGTCTAAACAGAAACTGTAAGATTCAGCATCCTTGCCTTGTTACCAATCATAAGGAAAAACATCTTTCAACATTAAACATGACATTAAGTTTAGATATTTACATAGATTTCATTTATCAGGTTTAGGATACAAAAATTATTTTTAAAAACTTGCAGATAGAATCAGAAAACTATTAAAAATGAACCAGAAAAAAATACACCATGATGAAGTAGTTTATCTCAAGAATACAAGTTTGGTTTAGCATTTAAGAATCAATCAAGTGGCCGGGCACAGTGGCTCACGCCTGTAATCCCAGCACTTTGGGAGCCAGAGGTGGGTGGATCAAGAGGTCAGGAAATCGAGACCATCCTGGCTAACACGGTGAAACCCCGTTTCTAACTAAAAAATACAAAAAATAAGCCGGGCATGGTGGCGGGTGCCTGTAGTCCCAGCTACTCAGGACGCTGAGGCAGGAGAATGGCCCGGGAGGTAGAGCTTGCAGTGAGCTGAGATTGCATTACTGCACTCCAGCCTGGGCGACGCAGCGAGATTCCGTCTCAAAATAGATAGATAAATAAATAAATAAATACACAAATAAGAATCAATCAAGTATAATTCAACACATTAAGAAAATAAAGAAGAAAAGCAAATTATCTCAAAAGACACAGATAAAAAGTTTAAGAGCAATCTACAATAGCACCCCAAAACACAAAATACCTAGGAATAAATTTAATAAAATATGTGCAAGATTTATGCAATGAGAACTATAAGACATTAAAGAATAAGTGGAGAGATACATAGTTCACTAATAGGAAGACTCAATATTTTTAAGATTTGACCTATAAAATACAATCCCAATCAAAATACCAGTTTGCATTTTCACAGAAACTGACAGTGATTCTAAAAATGTCTATGGAAATACAAATAATCCAGATTCACTAAAACAACTTTTAAAAAGATTAAGAAACTCATAGTACCTAATTTCAAGACTCACTATAAAGACACAGTAATCAAAACAGTGTAGTGTTGGTACAAGTTAGATATAGAGATCACTGGAACCAAACAGGAAGTCCAGAAATAGACCACACATACATAGTCAACTGATTTTCAGTAATAGTGCCAAAATAACTGCAGAGCAACTGGAACTCTCATACACCACTACTGGGAATATAAAATGGTACTACTTTGAAAAACAGTTCATAGCTCTGTGCAGCCTCCAACTCCTGGGCTCTAGGCTATCTTCCCACCTCAGCCTCCCAAGTGGCTAGGACTAGGACATGCATCACCAAGCCTGGCTAATTTGCCAAAAAAAAAAAAGAAAAAAAAATTTTTTTGTACAGACAGTGTCTCACCATGTTGCCCAGGCTGATCTAAGACTCTGGGGTCAAGTAATCTCCTCTTGTCTTGGCCTCCCAAAGTGCTAGGATTACAGACCTGAGTCACTATGCCTGGCCAGTTTGGCATTTTCTTACAATGTTACACACACAATTGCCATCTAAAATAGTATAAATTCATTCTGAGATATTTCCCAAAAGAACTAAAAACATGTCTACATGAATACTTGTACCCAAATGTTCATAGCAGCTCAATTTATATTAGCAAAGACAAAAAATATCCCAAATATCTACCAATATGTGAATAAACAGACTGTAACATATTCATAGAGTAGACTACTACTCAGCAACAAAAAGGAATGAACTGTTGGCATACACAAAATGGATGAACCTTAATAATACTGTGCTAGGCAAATGAAGCTGTATCAAAGCAGTATTTAAGTATGATCCCCTTCATAAGGACCTCTTAAAAAGGACAAATCTAGTCTACAGTGATAAAAAGGAAATTAGTGGTTGCCCGGTGTTGGTGGTACAGAACTAAATGTTCAAGGACACAAGAGAACATTATAGGATAATGTACATGGAACAGATCTTGATTATAGTGAGGGTAACATGGGTGCATCAATTTGTCCAAACTCATCAAAACATACCCTTAATTTGTGTGCATTTTATTGATTATAAATTACATTTAACTAACAGAGACAAAAACACTCCCCACCCTCTTGCCATAAAAAAAGTAACAGCAGTCTTAGAATACAGTTTACCTAATAAAAAAGCTTTCAAAAATATGCCAAGGACAAAATGAAATAAAATTATGATGAAATCAGTATGAATAATGAAGACAGCATTACATAAACCCAGAATGATACTTTTGTGATAATAGCAAGTCTAAAAGTGCTTCAAAACTAGAAACAAAAACCTCCCAATTAGTTTTCCTTTTTTGTTTTGCTTGAGTTGGTCGAAAGGAATAACATGGAGAGTAAAATAGAGATATCCAGAATAATCTAAAACAATATTGTAAAGTAGATTTTGTTCTATGAAAGACACATAAGTCTAAAAGAGCATAATGGCTTACCTAGGAGATTGGAGTAAATCACCATGGCTCATTTGGGCTAATAATTGCAAAAAAAATACAGAAAGTACTCATATAAATCAAAATTATTTTCTCACGAATTGCTTTAGCTTTTATGTAATCACATCCTACCTTATAAGAGAATCACTTCGCTTATCAGTTCTAACAAGGAGGACAACTTTCCATCTGTGGAAGGCTCCTGGAGCACCAGTGCGTTTCAGTTCTTCACGCCACCTTTTAGGTGCAGATTGCATTTGAGGTGAATAACGGGAATCTTTTTCAATTTTATATCCCCATTCATAAGTTGTTTCATCAAGCCATCTGCCACTTTTGGCACTATGAATTATATAGTCCTTGGTTAGTATCCACTTTCCTAGAAAGCAAATGAGCTGTCAGTCACAAAGGAATTTTGGTTCTGATAAATGATAAACAACGAAGATCAATTATAAAATAAAAGTCAACCTTTTTCAAGATAAGACTCTTAAGCGACACTGCTAACATTATCTTTGAACTATGCATTTTGGGGAAATTTTTTGATAGTGAGAGGCTTACAATATCACTGAACACTGTATGTAATCTTTTCCATGACAAATAATTGTAATTCTAAATATAATTCCATAGTTATAACTTAGTTATAATTATAGTTTCATTTAAATATAATTCTAAATTACAATTCTATAATTCTAAACATAAATCTAAAGCTTTAAAATCCAAAATAAAATGTGGTATTACTTGAATTATTATTACTATCATTATTCACCATTTTGGGTTAGATTTATATTCTTCCTCCTATGCTAACAGCTTTTCCAATATTGTTCACAGCATTATTACTCTGTAAAACAAATTTATTGAGTTAAGGAATTTTTCAGGTCATTTTATAACTTTCTTTTTTTTTTTTTTTAAGAGATGAGATCTCGCTACGTTGCCCAGGCTGATCTTAAAACTCCTGGGCACAAGTGATCCTTTTGCCTTGGCCTCCCAAAGTGCTAGGATTACAGGCATGAGCCTCCGCACCCAACCAACAGTTTCTTTATCTGGGCATCAATGATCTTTTTGAACACTATGGACAATGTATGTTTTCATTTGTAAAGTTAAAAATGAATGCAAGTGTTTTCCTTGTAAGTTAATCTAAAAAAGGATAAATTCACTCAAGTTACATACGCTTTTTTTTTTTTTTGCAATCAGTAGACTAATGATATGTTAGATCAATCACAATACAGAAAGCTATAAAAATAGAGAAAGCTATAAATTACAAAACAATACAGGAGAAGACTAAGTCTTAATTTGGATCTATAGAATTTAATAGCTTAGAAAAATAAAATAGTATGACCATTGTTTCATAATATGGATAGGAGAAGCAGCAGAGAGAGAACAAAAGCACTGACTGTATCAAATGACAGATGAAAGAAAACTTGACTGAAAACAGCTGAGACTTTAACAAAAGCTTAAGATTCTGACATTTTATGCCAGTCTTTTAGTTAATGTATTTTTTTTTGTCTTATATAAAACACACTAAATCCTTGTTGAGGAAAATATATTTGCCTATTTAATACATTTTTCATGTGTTACAGAATTTTACTCAGAAGAATAAGCAAAAAAAAAAAAAATTAAATATTTTCAAAAAATATCAGAAAAACACATTGAGGTTTGATATATAAATATGCTATCTCTCCAGAGAATAAAATACTTTTTCTTTAACATGAAGATTGTTTTCAAAAGTTGGGGGAAGACAGTTAACTTACCTGCTGCACAAGCTGCTAAAAATTTTTCACTCTTACATAGGCGTTCAGCTATAAGATGTGTACAATTTTTGTATTTCTGGAGGGAAAAATCCACATCAAGAAATGTTACTAAAGTAAGACTGCCTTTATAACACATTCTTCTTATTGTTACAATATCAAGAAGGCATTTTATCATTGTTAGGCCAGCATTTTAATTCTAGTTATTTTTCAAATATACCTTGAACATTTTGCTAAGTTTCTTACCTCACTCTTAATAAAAGTGCAATCTAGTTTTAAAAGTAATTTGACTAGCGCTTCTTTTTCTTCCATCTTAAATCCTGTCATTTGGATGATATGCTTTGGGGCACCATCTTCCATCTAGCAAATACAAACGTACAGAAGATAACATGTTAAAGATATTATTCACAGGGTTGACATCATTATTTTTTCTTAACTATGAGTACTAAAAATAAACTATTAAACATATAATGAATTAAAGACGTTAGGCATAACTCTTAAAACAATGTTAAAATTACTTACATACGATAGAAACTAGTTTTAAAAGTTATTTTCTCAAAATGTGGTCTTAAAAAAGTGAGGGTTTTTTTTTCTTTCTGATTTGAACATTGAAAGTCTGGATTAATACATTACTTGACACTAAAACACATTGATGAATAAATATTCTTCCTCAGAAAATGACAGAATGTTATACAAATATTGGCATAATAATGTTATACAAGCTTCATTTAAAAAGTATTGTTGGGACGGGTGCAGTGCCTCACACCTGTAATCCCAGCACTTTCGGAGACCAAGGCAGGCGGATCACGAGGTCAGGAATTCTAGACCAGCCTGGCCAACATGATGAAACCCCACCTCTACTAAAAATATAAAAATCAGCCAGGTGTGGTAGCAGGTACCTTTAATACCTGCTACTCAGGAGGCTGAGGCAGGAGAATCGATTGAACCTGGGATGCAGTTGTTGCAATGAGATGAGATCACACAACTGCACTCCAGCCTGGGCGACACAGTGAGACTGCATCTCAAAAATAAACAAACAAACAAAGTATTGTTGGCCGGGAGCGGTGGCTCATGCCTATAATCCTAGCACTTTCTTTGGGAGGCCAAGGCGGGCAGATCACCTGAGGTCGGGAGTTTGAGACTAGCCTGCCAACATGGTGAAACCCTATCTCCATTAAAAATACAAAATTAGCCTGGCATGGTGGCACATGCCTATAATCCCAGCTACTCGGGAGGGTGAGGTGGGAGAATTACTTGAACCCAGGAGGCAGAGGTAGTGGTGAGCTGAGATCGCACCATTGCACTACACAGCCTGGGCAACAAGAGCGAAACTCCATTTCAAAAAAAAAAAAAAACAAACTACTGTTGTTCGCTAAGAGCTTTTGAAACTTACAGACAATGAAACAATCAGATTTTATACTCCACAAAGACTTTAAAGCCTCTGTGGACAGATATTAAATATGTACACGTTACCGGAGAAGTGAATAGAACTCATGGTCTCACAGCATTTATATCCAATAATTTAGTAAAGTGTGTACACATAATAATCCTGGATCCTATTTGCAATCTATGTTTCTTAAATTTGCTATATATATGTTAATTTCATCATTTACAAGGTAAACTGAAAAATCACTTTTTTTTTAATCTAAGTTTATTTTCATAGGGACCCTGAATCCATATTTTAATGTAGTTCACAAAAAGTACTTTGTGTTTAGGGAGTACATAACTCATAGAATTTCTCATCAGAATACAATTTTATTTGTTTACATGAGGTTGAACTGGAGATCTAGATAGCATCTTAGAGAAAAATCTCAATCTCTTCACAGACAAGGAAAGCAGGGACTAGAGAAATCAGGGCAATTTTTCATTTCCCTAACAATTTGGTCATCATAGCTATGGATTATTAATATTTAACTAATGTCATAGCTAGAATAACAACAGTAGCTATTTTCAACAACCAAAGAAACATGACTTCTTTCAATACAATTACAAGTAAACTTCAAAAACTGTAATGATTTGAGCCTATAACTAATAGCACACAACTGGTAAAGTGAGAAACATTCTTCACAAAAGTCTGCTTTTAAAGACATAAATACAACATATATAAAGGTTGAGATTCATTTAAGAGTAAAAATTGGAAGAAAGTCTCAATATAAACAATTTAAAGCATTACTCAGAAGTGAACTTTTATTTCCTTGCTTAGAGTTTTGAAGAGGAGGAAGTTCGGCTAGGGTAACCGCACTCTTAGTTTTTCTCTACCCTTCATCACTCCCCATTTCGTTGGAGAAGCTCCTTGAGACAACTAAATGGATATGCTTTGTTCAGCCTATCTGCAGATTTGCAAGGAAGGTCCATATCGATGTTTTCTGACACATCCTAAGGAGCTGCCAGTAGCAGTCCTGCACTGCCTGTGTGGGTAAGTCAATTCAGAGGCTATGTACTAAGAAGCACACTATGGTTCCATATCAAAACCACTGCCTTCTTGCAGAAGGATGAGGGAAAAACAAAACAAAACAAAAACCATCATCTTCAAAACAATGTTTACTCAATAAAAAAGCTGATATTTCAACCTCAATTTATCTGATTTTTGCATTTCTCAACTGGCTGCAAAAGGGGCAAAGAGGTACAATGTACTTTAACCTTCTAAAACTCAGATACCGAACATAAGAAAGTGCCTTAAAGATAAGGCTCTCCAATGAAATAAATGTTTTTATTAAAAAGTTACAGGGATTTGGTCTAGTCAGTGTAAAATTTTTAAGTGCACATACTAGGGATTGGTCTCTTATGAAAAATTAATCATATACATGAAACAGTTTCATCACTAAATAAATTAAGCTTCTTGTATAAGGAACCCCTTACTGTATTTATTTTTTTTTTTTTTTTTTTTTTTTTTGAGATGGAGTCTCGCTCAGTCGCCCAGGCTGGAGTGCAATGGCACAATCTCGGCTCAGTGCAAGTTCTCCTCCCCAGTTCACGCCATTCTCCTGCCTCAGCCTACTGAGTAGCTGGGACTACAGGCGTCCGCCACCACGCCTGGTTTTTTTTTTTTTCTTTTTTTTTTTTTTGAGACAGAGTCACTCTGTCGCCCAGGCTAGAGTGCAGTGGCGCTGTCTCGGCTCACTGCAACCTCTGCCTCCTGGGTTCAAGCAGTTCTCTGCCTCAGCCTCCCAAGTAGCTGGGATTACAGGCACATATGCTTTTCCTACTACTTGTATATTTTTAATGTGTTTTAGAGTTTCAAGGGCTATTTAATGGCTATTTCAGGAATATTGCCAAAGAAGTTTGAGTGGTTTTAAAAAATCTAAAATCTTGCCTGATTATTCTAAAAATTGACATATAAAAACTAATGTTAAGTAATCGGAATATACAAAATATAGTAAAAAAATTGTTATAACACTGTTACCCAAAAGAGTTTTATTTAAAGCTTGTCCTTTAAATTTTGTTATTCTGCTTTCTCAGAATTAAGTTATACAGAAATAAAGGAAACATATCCTACATTGCTGTTTCCAGATCATGTTAACAGCTATTTTACAATTTGAATATTATTAACAACGTAACATTTTAATGTATTCTGGTTTCATGTATAAATTATTAAACTATTTGGATTTACTGGAGTTAGTGTGTAAAGCAAAGTTTTCATCTTAAACCATATGGTCTTTATAATAAAATAAATACGATGGAAATAACCCACTTTGTATATTTAACAGCATTTTCTGTCAAAACAAGAGCCCATAGTAAAATGAAAATAGGACTAACTGCGTAATAGCAGAAATCAGGAAACCCCTTTAAAGCAATTTATTTCCTTTGAAAATGATTAAATATGAAACTGAAATTAAACATGCAGAGGAAAGGGAAGTAGGAAACAAAGGTGAAAAAATAGAATTTCCTGATTCAAACATTATCCGTAAACTGTGCATATGTTTAAAAACAAATCAGAATACAGGATATTGTAGTCACAAGTTTATCAAAAAAACTGAGCTATTAGCTAAACTTTAACAGAATCAGGAATCCCAGTGATGGCCCAAAATAACTAGCACAGTTTTATAACAGTTTTCTACAATAAAATTATCTACTTGAAACAAGAGAGTTTATAATACATTTAGTAATGCTTTTTTACAGCACATGATATGACAAGTGAGTGACTTGGATTATAGGATCTAATTCATGCAGTTACACAGGAAAACTGTATATGTAGGAATAAATATAAACATGTATAGATATATTGATTGATTGATTTATAAAATTCATGGTTTGACGGTTCTTTCTGACCCTGCAGGATTAAGAATACAATAAACCTGATATGTCAATGAAGCCAAAAAGAGCACTATAATTGATTTAATACATATCAAACCCAGACAATTAAAAATCCTTTAAAGTACAGTCAAGTTTAGTGCAAGTGATATGTCTGGGGTAGGGAGGATCAAGAGCTAACTTCTAGAAGTCTTCCAGCACAAGAAGGAAAGTCAATATACCATAATTGTACCAGTGGTTATTTCTAGAAAAATTATAGATCTTTATAGAACTAATGGGGGGTGTCCCTTGGAGCATTCATACAGAAGATACTGTCCTAACACCAAAAAATGGAGGGGAAAAAAAAGCAAAAAAGACAGCATGACTTTTTACAGTTAAAAGTTTTATCTTTACTGTCAAAAAAGTTAAAATTATATGACATTCTTAGTTATGAGAAAATGTCCTTCTGTAGTAATAATTAACATCTCATAGTAATTAACAAAAATTAGTTACTTACCTTGAACAATAAAATACAACTAAGGAGACAATGACTGTAAATAGAGTTGGCCTTTACGCATAGCAAGCAACTGTCTCTGTGGTATGGACTTTCCCAAAATATCTCCCACATGGGCCTATTCTTGATGCCTGAAATTCCTTTGTAGTTGATGCCAGTCCAAAATGCAAAGAAAACCTATAGAACTCTTCATCTTAATTAAGAACACTATTTATTATAAACTAGCCTTTTAGGTCCTTTGAATTCTTTACAGTGTAACACATAGCTAGAACATGTTTGAAGAACATGTTGATAATTGAGCTCAGAGACAAGGAAAGACAGGAATACAGATATGAATACAAAAGTGGTTTCAGAGGCAAGATGAAAGAGCAGGGTACAACCCTTGGGAAAAAGTGGAAGGTGCTACAAAAATGAGAGGCAGGGATGCATAAATAGGGTTTTATAAGGAAAATAAGGATAAAACTTTCCCTACTCTACGTTACATAGGGCTGGTTATAAAAGAAACCAGCCCTACTTATAAAAGAGAAGTAATCTTAGAAATAAATTTTATGGTATCATTAGCTAAAATAAATATTTAAGACAATAAAAAACTTTGATTTATATATTTATATATATAAATACATATTTGTATTTAAGAACTAAAATTTTCCCCCCAAAATAACCTTACAGACCTTTCAATTTTAACATCCGCTTATAGAAAATTTGAAAAATACTACAAAGTATACACAAAGATTAAAATCATCTCTAATTCCTTCAGCCTGTAATACCATTGTTAACACTGGGGAGGGATGTTGACTTTTAGGTTTTATCTGAGTGTAAAAATATATATATAACAAAATTTGGATATTACATTGTTTCATATCTTCATTTTTATGTAATATTATATCGTGATCATTTTTCCCCGCCACTTAATACTCTTCATGGTTTTAAGGTCATATTATGAAAACTAGTGGTTTCTTAGTGTTTGTTATTTTGGTGAATTCTTTTGATTTTAAACCTACTTCTACAGCAAATTAAGGAAAATTATTTGACACTCCCCTCATCTGAAAAGCATATACCCAGCACGGAATGCAGTCAAGATTTTTGCTCTGAATTAAAGAGTCTGAAAAATTTTCGTGATTTCTCTTATTCAAAACATTTAACTGGGAAAGTAAACAAATAACTGTTAAAACTGAAAAGGGTCCAAGTGTTGGATCTCTGCTTGAACCAATATTGCAAAAGGCAGACACATGTCACAGTACTTACACTGTGTGTGTAAAATACTGTTTGGCTTTTAACTACAAGTGACGTTCAGAAATTCTGGCCCCTTTAGGCCTAGGAGCCAAATTAGGCCCTTGGTTTAGTGTAACTCAGCTGGTCTTCGGACTTTTTTTTTTTTTTTTTTTAAAGACACAGTGTCTATTTCCTGCCCCATCCTTCAAAGACATGAGAGAGAGATGCACACACACGTGTGTGTATGTATAAATATTATTTGACAGAAGTATCCAGTGATGAGACTTGAGGGCTGTTCTTACTTCCATGGCATTATTTGGGAAAGAAGCAGGAATTAGTCCCTCTGATGACAAATTTAGCACTAGAAGGAAGAAACAGAACAAGCAGCAAAGTGAATATGGTGAGAAAGAAATGAGAAGCTTAGGGGAACATATGGAGATGTCCAATCTATCCAATACTGTACAAGGCACAGCCTGGGCAGATGTTAACTTAGGGATGAAGGAGTCCTTAAGGAAGCAAGCTAGGCAAGAGATGAAAGGTTCATGAAAAGAATAGATGGACAGTAGATATTGGTTAGCCATAGAGGATAGAAGTCAAATGTGCTTTGGTATCCTAGGAAATTTGGTTTACTTAGGAAGAGCATATGTCTAAGGTTGAACAAGCAGGATTCAATTTTTACTGAGGACCTACTGTGGTTTATACACTTCATAAATGTTAGCTCATTTCCTTCTTCACAACATAAGTGCTATTTATTTTTCTTGTGCAGATGAGGATACTGGAAAATCTGAGTGATTAAGAAACTACTTCAAGGGTACATAGCTAGTAAATGGTAAAAACAAGATGCACAGATAAGTCTTTCTGCAAAAATTATATGCCTTTTCTACAACACCAAGCTGAAAAGAACTTCAGAACTTAGCCTAATACTTTTAACAACATTATAATTTCATAAAGCAATCTACTTTCAGCTAACACAAAAGAAAGATACATTACCTGCAACAAACAGTACAAGGGTGGGAAGACATTTAGAACAGCAATATCATTGAAAAAATTTAAACATAATTATAAATTATTTTCAGTAAAATAACAGTGTCTAAAATTTCAAAGCATTTCTAGAAACAATCTGAAGAGTGCTCTTTTGGTCTAATGAGAAAGTTTTCATTATTTTCCCCTCAAAAGTGATTTGGTATCAATCAATCATTAGAGTAATTCATACAACAAAGCCTTTCTTCCTCCTCAAAAATAACCAGTGTGTTTTAAATTTCAAAGTCATTTTGACAGAAAGTATGAATTAAGTGAACTTAAAAATTCCAGAGTTATTTTACTTTTAAGCAGTAACATGCCCTTATAAGGGCAGAAATAGTACACAGTACATTATACAGATGTATTTTCTATTAGCATATTCAAAGGGTCAACTACAAGAGTAACAGATGATGTTTCATTTTAGTTACATTTTTGAGAGAGTTCGTTTTGTTTAGGATTTATTATTCAAAGCCAACACAGAATTTTTTATTTTACTTTTTAAAAATGTTTAAATGGTGAAAACCCTACTTTAGGGTAATATAATCAAGATACATATAATAAGGAAAATACTAATAAATAAAAGCTATACTACTGGTTTCCCAAAACGCAATGTTTTTGAACATCAGTGGAAATTGTGGATGCTTATTATGAAATCTTAAGAGTTCCGAATTTTGATTATGAAAAGTAACCACATTTGATCATCTTTTCAATGACTTTCAGGTGATACACGCTTTATGCTTTAGGGAAGCAAGAAAATGTTAGGTCATGTAATTCAATTTTACTTAACGCATAATAAAATCTGGATTTAGAAAACAGAATAGGGGTTTATTTGCAGTATTGAAGGTTAGCTGTCTTTACAATAAAATTGACTTAAACATTCAAGTATCTGCACATCCTGTTCCTTTAAATTAAGAATACTCAAGAGTTACCCGGTGGCTCACGCCTGTAATCCCAGCACTTTGGGAGGCCGAGGCGGGCGGATCACTTGAGGTCAGGAGTTTAAGACCAGCCTGGACAACATGGTGAAATCCTGTCTCTATTAAAAATGCAAAAAATTAGTCGGGCGTGGTGTCGCACACCTGTAATACCAGCTACTCGGAAGGCTGAGATAGGAGAATTGCTTGAACCTGGGAGCCGGAGGTTGCAGCCAGCTGATATGGCGCCACTGCACTCCAGGCTAGGCAACAGAGCGAGGCTCTGTCAAAGCAAGCAAGCAAGCAAGCAAGCAAAGGAAAGAAACAGTACAGGATAGGACAGGACAAGAAAATAAAGAAATTTACTTTCTTATATAAATCCACCTCATACTAGCAACTTATTGAACACCTGCAATAGACGTAATCAAACTTTCCAATCATGAGAACATCCTGCACATCCACAGATATTTTCAGGAATTGAGGCACAACGGTATAACATAAACCAAAAAGTCCACAAGGTGCATTGTCCGTCACACATAAATTGTAAATTCAGTTCAAATATTCATTCCCAGTATTTCAACAACAACGGTTTTTTAAATAAGAAAGTCATTCGTCAAAAAAGAGGCTGGTGCCTCCAAAACAAAGCTCCATCTAACTCCTGAGTCAAATAATGATATGAAGTACCCGAGACGGACCAATTTTTTTTCTTTTTTTGTCAATATTTAATCTGAGGCTTTGGAAGTGGAAGAAATCTTAAAATAGCCACTTAGTCTTGTTTCCAGCCTTCAGGCAGCTGAAATGTAATCCCCAGGAACACAGATCCTCCCTTCAGGGAAACGTGTATGTGTGTATGTTTGTGTTTAAAGGCCTATAGCAGTCAGAGATAGGATCACTGCCGTTTTAGTATATTTTTTAAAAAAAATTCTACTAGAGAGGAAAGAATGACACAATTTTCTTCGTCACAGGAAGGTGGGCCTGGGGGATCCCAGCCACCTTCGCAGACGCTAAGTTATGGAAAGCAGCCAAAACTCTGTATCAGGATGAGGCGTCCCCATGGGTTCTATGGAAACGAGAGACGCGGGGGGCCTAGTGCCTTCCAGGCTGCGGGCCGAGCTGCAGAGCTGCGCAAGCAGGAGCCGGGGAAGCGGCTCAGCCCAGTACTGCAGACAGGCGCTCGGTGGCAGTCCCCGCAGCGGCACGGGCGAGGCGTCGCGGGGTCTGCAGCCGCAGCCCACCAATTCTGGCGCCGAGAGCGAAGTCGGAAGAACTGCGGCTAGAAAGCGTAAGAGCCGCCGGACACCGCTGCCGCTCACCCCAGCCGCTCCCTTCCTAGCCTCGCAGCCGGTAGGCAGAAACTTCGGAGGTACAGCCCGGGAAGGAAACATCCCCATAGAGACAGAATACACTGTGTCTTCCTAGCTGAGCCCCTTTACCTTCCCGGCCGAAGTGTCTGGGATGCTTCCTTCGGTGGCGGCGGCGGCAGGGGCGACGACTGCCGCTGCAGCACTCAACTGCTTCACTAATCCGGGCTCTGGGAAATAATTTCCCGCCGCGCGCTAGGCAGCCCCGGAAGCGATAGTAACATTTCCGGGTGGTTGTCAGTGACGCTCTGGAGCCGTCGCCAGGGTGGTAATATCTGGTGCCGAGCTTGAGTCTGGCCAGCGAGTCAGGCTCCTGCTAGATCAGCACCGGAGGTGGAAGACTGGTAAGTGATTTTACTGGGTTTTCTGCTGGGTCTGATATTAATGGCTGGCCGGGGCTCTGTGCAGCATTTTGGCCAGCCGGAGAAGTGAGTGGGCGAGGGTTGAACCAGAAGGAGTCCCCATCCAACCCCGTGTCGCTTGACACCCAGTGCAGCTGGAGAAGGCCCTGGGATCCCGGCTTACCGTCTCATCCACTCGCAAAATCTGTCTCCAACTTGGAACCCGACCTCGGGTCACCAGGTGTCCCTGGGCGAGGCCGAAGACACCGTGTACCGTGACTCGGCGTTGTGCCGAGTTTCTCTGCCCATGATCAACGAGTGTCCTATCTCCCATTAGCAGCGTTTGGCCACTCTCGATTCCTGAGTACTGTTTCCGTAGTTCTGGGGTGCCGTGCCTGGAAGGCAGGAAGTTGGCTGAAGAAGACATCTTTTACAAACATTTGGGAAGTGAGATGGGAAGGTTCCTTCCTGATTTAGAATTAATTGAAGGTTCCTCCCGCCATTTGAATTGGGTGAGAAGAACGGTCTTTGTTTTCCTGGCTGAGACGTGAGAGAACAAGCCTGTAATTTCATGCTTGGGCATTAGATGCATTTTTGGAAAACAGTGATCTGTAAGTAGGTGCGCTTTCAGAAAGGAATGCTTGCGCTCTGCCCCAGGCTTTGTCGATAATGAAGGATTCAGGAGAATTGTGGATGGAGGTCTGAGGTAGCCAGAATAGTTGTAAAGAGAAATCGCTTCCGACAAAGGATAATGTGAGGAAAGGTGCTCATTTAAGATTTGAAAGATGTGATGTAGTGAACCTTGGCGACTTCTCTTAAGTAATGCAATTTCTTAGGTAAGTAGTTTTCACTTGCCACCTTGTGTTTAAATAATTACCTCCCCACCAACCCCCCGTAAAAGGCAACTGTTATTTTTTCAAAACAGTCAGTTCCCAAAAGAGTTGTAGGTACTATTGCATTTTTCTTTATGTATTGCATAAAAACATTTTCTTTATCGGAGCATACCCATAAAGAAAAATGCAGTATGTTCAATTCAAGGCCCCTGTTACACCAGGTCAGTGCCTTCTTACCTTTTGAGAATAATGCAGCCAAACCATATTTAGGATAGCACATTGATTTTCTAACCCTGTTGGTTAACTTAAAATCTCCCCATTAATCCCAATTTTGACATTTTGTTGAATCTTGTATTTTTTGTTTATTCCTCCAGTTGAAAGTATTATAAATTACTTCAAGGATACTATATATTTTATCTGTACAGCAACTAGTTTTTAGAGGCAGTGATTTATCTCTATTAATTGTTCTTGAATGTAGCCAATCATTAATACCCAGAGTAGATACTGTCTGCCAGGCACTTTACATTTATTATTTTATTTAATGCTTAACAAAATCACAAAAATTGTATTATTTCTATTTTGCAACACCTTTTATACTGAGACTCAAAGAGGTTGTGATTTTCCATAAATTATACAATTAAATGGCACAACTAAAATTTGAATCCAGTCTACCTGACTCTACATTTTGGCTCTAAACTGTGCTCTATACCTTTATAAGTAAACATAATAGTATCATTATTTTCACTCCCAGGTAAAAATGGATAGATAGTATGTCACGTTCAGAAATCAAGTGGATAGCAAAACTTGAGGATAAAAGGGACTTCAGGGATGTGTTCATCACCATAAGGTAATTTTGACATGTAAATAATGCAGTTTCTTTACTGCCTTTATCCTCGGCCAGTTTTATTATCCTAATTCAAACAAATGCCTATACTGTACATTGTCATAACACGTGGGGCAAATACAGAAGATCTGGAGACCATCAGCAAGCATATTGGTGACTCTGAGTCCACAGTATCAGCTAACTATCTCTTTAGGCAGCTTTTCACACACACATTTGTATACATGTATATTTTTGTGTGTGTGTGTGTAGGGAGAGAAAATGAGTAAATGAGCACAAATTCATAAAATTGAACTCTGTAATGATTTATAAGGAATTATTAGCAAAACTGTGCTGTTCTACTCACACAATCCTCAAACAGATGGGGATTATCACATAGTTTCAGGGAATATGCTTAATTAAACCTGCCCATCCCAATACCCTATTCTATTTAGAGAAATAGAAATAGCCTAATTTTCAGAGAATTTATAAAAATTTAGTTGAAATGACCGATACTAGAAATGACATAGAACTTAATTCTAAAGAATATTCTGTTTTACAACTATATAGGTATAGCTAGCCTCAAATACCAATGTGTATTTGATTATATTGCATTGACTTGTAGGCAGATCTTTGCATTGACTTGTAGACAGATCCCATAGGCAGATCTCAGGGATATTTTGCCATCAAATTTCAGTGCTTATGAAGGTTGAGATTATGTCTGTTATATTCATCATCTCATACCCAGCATCTAGCACTGTGCCTGGCGTGTAATAGAAGCTCAATAAATAAGTCAGGAACCATGACTCATGACTGTAATCCCAATACTTTGGGAGGCTAAGGCATGAGGATTTGAATCCAGGTCCTCTAAATTTTGGCTCTTTTTACTGTGTTCTATACTTCCTCTAATAAATAAACATAGCTTACAGTGAACTATGATCACACTACTGCACTCTAATCTGCACAACAGAGTAAGATCCTGTCTCTAAAAAATAAAAAATAAACATTTATTGAATGAATGATTCCTTTTTAAAATGTTTTTTATCCACTGAGAAGTATTTGTACATTTTTTTAAAGGATTTGCCATATAATAAATATTTATTGTTACTCACCTTGACCCTGAAATACAGTGTCCACTCCACACTCATTCATAAAAGGCAATGTGCTGTTCTGTAAAGACGACTGGACTGTGAGACAGGAGATGAGAAAATATCTAATATTTTTTCTGTGTTTATTCTCTGCTATTCAGTGTTAAATTACTCCTCACAGCACAATAGGTAAGTATTATCCTCCTTTTACAGATACGAAAACTGAGGCAAATATAAGCTTTGTAAATTGTCCTAGGTTACACATAGTCATTAAACACAGCTATGATTTGGATGAAGGCCTGTGACCCCAAAAGTGATCATCTTAACCACTTTGCTATACAGCCTCCAGTTGAATTTTTAATCCTGGATCAGCTGCTAAATGTGTGCAAAAGCAAATTTATTTCTCTGGGTATCTTGTTTCTCATCTATAACATACAGGAGTTTGATGGATTAGATTATCTATAAGGTCCCTCCTACCTCAAAAATCCTCTGACTTTAGTTGAGTCCCAAGTATTATCTGAATATAGCAGTTCTAGTGTGCCAGAAAACCCTCATCAATTTTGATGTGTTTCATATGAGCTTTTATATGTGTTCACGTCTTCCACAATGGTGGACACAGAATCATGTTGTTGCAATAGGAAGAATAGAGTTAAAAAAATCACAGTAATGCTTTTTTTTTTTTTTTTTAAACCAGCTATGACACTACTAAGTCACTGAACCTTTGTGAGCTTATGTTTTCATATGTAAAATGGATCCATAGGATTGCTGAGGGTTAAGTGAGTTGACATATAAAGCCTCAAACATGTCTGATACACAACTGCTATTAAATAAATATTGATTCTTTTTCTTGCTCAGTCTTGCAAGGATAAAAGATTAGTGGATATAAAAATGCTTTATAAATTAGACAAAGGTGAAGAATTTTTTCACTTAGAGTCTACTAGGAGAGATAAAGTTATATACAAAAATAATTATATGTGGGGCAATTCACATACATCATTGAACACAAAGCATGATGGGAATGCAAAGAAAAGAAATTTTTTTTTTTCCAGGAGGTCAGATGAGGAAAGACCTCATAAAAAAGGTAATATTGAGTTTGTGCCCTATAGGATGGTAAGGATTTTGGCAGGGGAACAAGAGGGAGAAGTGTTCTACTGGAAGATGCAAAGGTGTCAGAAAACAGAAATAGTACCTAGGTCACTTTGGATATGTAAGATGGATGAAGGCTGGTAATAAAGCTAAGGTAAAAAGCTGAGCTTAGGACAAGCTGTAGATAACTGTGGGCAAGTTAAAGATGTTAGGCATTTAACAATAAGCAATCTGTGTGTATAACTAGGATGGGGTGGAGGATGGAGTTGGCATTTGTTTTCTTTGTTATGGAAAAATGCCCATTTGTTACAGAAATATTAGAGTGTTACAAATATGCCAAAAAGGAAAGAAAAAGGAAGAGTGGCCCATAATCCCACCACTCAGAAATAACTTACGATTTTTCTCTGTATTATTACAGATTTGCATATATGTGCTTTTAAAATAAAAATGAAATAATACTATCTATATTGTCTTGTGACCTGCTTTTTTCAATGTGCTACGCCGTGAATTTTCCCATGTCAGTAAATTTGCTTCTATAAAATAATATTTAGGGCCTGCATGCTATTCAATTTTATAAATATGTAAAAACTTTTAAACTGACTTCTTTCTGTTAAGTAATAGTACAATAAAGATTTTTATAGTAAAATATTTAGACATATTCATATCTATTTTCTTATTACAAATTGTAGAAGGAGAAATGGTGACCCACGGGTTATGAACACATATAATACTACATGTATTACCATATCAATCATATTTTTAATTTAAACTTGGTGCAAAATTAATGAGGTATGAAAGGGTATATAATGAGGCATTAGCCGCCCTCTCACCTTGTCCTCCTGATTCACAGCTAGCCCTTATAGCACCTTGTGTGATTAGAAAAGGGCACCCTCTTCTGGAGGATCCGTAACTCTTGGATATATAGTGTGTAACTGATGGTACTTTTTTTTTCTGTACCTGTGCACAATGTGCAGGTTTGTTACATATGTATACATGTGCCATGTTGGTGTGCTGTACCCATTAACTCATTTACATTAGGTGTATCTCCTAATGCTATCCCTCCCTGCTCCCCCGACCCCACGACAGGCCCCGGTATGTGATGTTCCCCATCCTGTGTCCAAGTGTTCTCATTGTTCAATTCCCACCTATGAGTGAGAACAGGAGGTGTTTGGTTTTTTGTCCTTGCGATAGTTTGCTGAGAATGATGGTTTCCAGCTTCATCCATGTCCCTACAAAGGACAAAATTGATAGACCGCTAGCAAGACTAATAAGAAGAAAAGAGAGAAGCATCAAATAGACCCAATAAAAAATGATAAAGGGGATAATTGATGGTACTTTTGTGAGGATTGGAAAAAGGCACCGTTTTCTCTGTGGCAACAGCCCTGCAAGGACACATGGCTAGGCCACCAAAGTATGGGCTGGATTCAGCCCCTACTCACCTCCCTAGATTGAGTACTTTTGTGACAGGTACTGCACCTGGCCTTTTTGACTATTTACTTTCTAAAAGCCAACACTAAGGCCAAATGCAGACTTTGTTAAAATACAGAAGACAAGGTTGGCCGGCACAGTGGCTCATGCCTGTAACCCCAGCACTTTGGGAGGCCAATGCGGGCGGATCTCTTGAGACAAGGAGTCCAAGACCAGCCTGATCTGCATGGTAAAACACCATTTCTACCAAAAAAATACAAAAATTAGCTGGGTGTGGTGGTGGGCACCGGTAATCCCAGCTACTCCTGGAGTCCGAGGCAAGAGAATCACTTTAACCCGGGGAACAGATGTTGCAGTGAACTGAGATCATGTCACTGCACTCCAACCTGGGTGACAGAGTGAAAGATTCTCTCAAAAAAAATACAGAGGACAAGGTCAAACTTTAGTGCATCCCTTGAAATACATACATTCCGTATAAAAAGTTTTAACAAATATAAAAGCTCAAAATGATACAATGTCATTTTGACTAATTAGGCAATGCAGTATAATATAAACAACTGAATTCAGAGAGGATCTGGAGTTGAGCTTAAACTAATGAACATATAATGATAGCCTTGAAGAAGTTACTTAAATTCTCTGAGCCACAGTTTCTTCATCTGTAAAGTGGTAATACTGTCAACTTTATGGGTTTACTAGGATTAAATGTAATAATGTGTGTAAGTACACAGGCATCAGAAAAAAATTATCAAGGGTCTGTAGTATTGTTTTTTATTTTTAATAAACTCACTGTTTTAAAATAAGGTCTGTGGCTCCAACTATGAAGTCAAACAGACTTGGATTCGAATCCCAACTCTGTCACTAGTTGTATGACAGAAAGTTACTTTTCTACTGTTTCATTATTTGTAAAATGGGAATAATGATGTCTTCATAGGCCTTTCGTGAAGATTAAATAAAACAATGCATGCATAGAGTTTAATATTGGTGCCTGGTATAGTAAGGCACTTTATTTGTTCAAATTCCCCAAGAAACAGATGCCAAGAGGAGATTAGATGTACAAGATGTTTATTGGGGAAACTGCTTGTGAAGAATAAAGGAGAGGAAGCGGTAGTAGGAGAGAAATGCCTTTAGGCCTCAATGCACGTCTGACAGCCTAAAAAGAAGAGAAGGAAGGAAGAAAGAAGAGTTGAGTAAGAATACAAAGTGCTGCACTGTTCTAAGAAAGCTTCAACTAGGCCAGTGCAGAGTTCAAAAGCGGAAGTCATATATTAGAGGAATCCCATGTTGCCACAGTATTCAATGTTAGGTATTAGTAAAAATGATCAATAGTTGTCGTATGCTAAAACTTACAAATATATTTGAATTTCAAATCTTGAATTTTACTGCCTGTTCCACCCCCTCCTGCCCTCAAGAAAAGTATAATCCCTACTGCCAGACATTGATACTAACATTTGAGTCATATGTGCTTACATTATCTTCTTATATTTTAGAATACAGTTTTGTTAGCCAGAACAGTTAGGAATCAAAACATCTGTTCCCAATAACAGTTTAGAAATGCAAACATTAGCTAAGCAACTGATTTTTGGCATCACGTGGTTAAACACACACTGTTGTCTAAATTTCTAAATTCAGGTAGCCAATTAAATATAATGTAAATTTTTTTTTTTTTTTTTTTCTGAGACAGGGTCTCACTCTGTCACCCAGCCTGGAATACAGTGGTACATCACAGCTCACTGCAACCTTGAATTCCTGGGCCCAAGGGATCCTCCCACCTTGGCCTCCCAAGTAGCTGGGGCTACAGGTGTGCGCTACTATGTAAAAAATTTATTTATTTTTTTTGTGGAGACAGGTTCTAGCTGTGTTGCCCAACCAGGTCTCGAACTCTTGTACTGAAGCAGTCCCCCTGCCTTGACCTCCCAAAGTGCTGGGATTATAGGCATGAGGCACCGTGCCTGGCCTCATGCCTGTAATCCCCGTATTTTGGGATCCATGGTTAGAATATTAGCCTAACACTTAAATGTCTATTTGCCTCTTTACCAAAGATACCTCTGCAGCCACAAAGGTAAAAATATAGTTTCATAGGATCCTTCCCCCCAACCCCCACCACTTTTTTGTTGTTTTTAATAAGTAAACGTAGAGATCCATAATTTCAGTGCTTTTCAAATGGCAGGTTATAAGCCATCAATTTGGTGAGTCATAGCATGTATTTTTGTTTCAGATACATGTGGTTTCAGGATTGGGGATATAAAATGTATTTGTTACTGGGAAACACAGCTGAATTAGAAAACAACTAATTTAGATTAACTATTATACACGAGGAAATGAAGATTAAAGAGGCGATTTAACATAATGGATAACTCAGGAAACATGTGACTTGAACCAGAGGCTAG